TATGCAACTCTAGAATCCTAAATAAAGCAAGTTCCAACTTACGTTTAACGGGTAAGAGAGCCTATGTCTAGGATCTTGTTTTAGTTCTTATTTCTAAGTAACTTCCCGTTTTACCTTGATGAGATCCGTTTGACTTTAACCTTCTCAGAATTAAATTCAAACTAGTGTGCTTTAAACAACTGGCCAAGAAGAAAAATCAACTGGATAAATTGTATCAATCAAGATAAGCAAAGAGAGCGTAATACGCCGTGCTCACTGATAGATGTAATTTATAGTGATAAAAACTAAAACATTCGTAGGAGGGTTGAAGAAATAATTTAGCTACTCATTGAAGTAAAATAAACGACAAAACAAGAGAAGGTAACAAAGTGATGCATTTTCATTGAAATGGAAAAGAAAGTACAAACTTAGAACAAATAGAAAAATAAACAAAAAATAATTTTAAAAACAATAAAGGAAGAACAAAACTTAAAACTGGAATTAAAACTTAGAAGCTAAAGTTGACAAGAATTAGAAAGAAAAAGCAAAGCATGGAAAGATGAGATGTGTACAAATGATGCTTGGAAGCTCCTTTTATAGGCCATGGATGTTAGAAGTATTTGAGAAATTCAAGGGAAGTTGGCAACTACTCTTTGTAGAGATTTTAGGAGTCAAACTAAATCTTGGACCAAAAAGTTGTTATTCCCGTTTTGACAATCTATGCATCAAATGTGGCTGACGCATTGCAAAGCTGGAAATTTTGGGCATGCGATGTGTCCGACGCATTGTGATCATAAATCTTCACTTTTCCTTTCAAAATAAACATATTTACACAAATTAGCCTTCATTTACCTATAATTGAATTCCAAAATCCCTAATCACAAATTATGCACATTTTCCCTATATTATATGTTTGAACATACATTTTTCATCATGATTAACTCCCAACTAAGCATGTAAAACTACTATTTTTAGCCTTTAATCAAATCTTATCACACCCCCAAACTTAATATTTCGCTTGTCCTCAAGCAAAACCAACAACTATCAAATCAATAATAAGCATGCAAAATTCGAGAATAAACCAAACATCAAGCAGAGTCGAGTAATTTGCTCATATGGTGTCTCAGGAAGAACGTCAAAGCTTTAATTCCTACTACTTTTCTAAAGCACAATCATCATAAAGCCACCCTTGTTTAAAAGCTAAAAGCTTTTCAAATTTTTCTATTGTCTAACTCAAAAAACTTTTTCAAATCCGGTAGAGACTATGCACACTCCCTTTAATGAAAATTTTCTAGCACAAAAATGACTCGCAAACAGGACAGTCACTCAAGGGATTCTCTTGGCTGGCAAACAATCCGAGCTTGTCGATTAGTGAGTTGCACGAAGTCAAGCTAGATCAAAGTTGCTACCATAAAATTATGAGTACCCC